ACCCTCGGGCGGGAGCGCCGCCGTGCTTCCCAAGTGGCGCACTATCCAGTGCGCCACCGGGACGGCCCCATTCAGCAAATCTTTGAGAACCAATTTTCACGTTTTGGAAAGGTTCAGCCTTATAAATAGTTTTAGTCCATTTTGTGTTGCTATAACAGAAATACCTGAGACTGGGTAATTTGTTAAGAAAAGAGCTTTATTTGGCTTATGATTCTGGGACAGCTGCATTTGGCATGGGCCTCAGGCTGCTTCTACTCATGGCGGAAAGTGGCAGGCAGCTGCCGGGTACAAGCAGATCACATGGCAAGAGGAAGCAAGAGAGAGGAAATGAGAGAGAGAGAAGGTGCCAGGGTCTTCTTAAGCAATGAGCTTTCACGGGAACTAACAGAGCAAGAACTCACTCATTAATTCCCCCTCCTCCAGGGAGAGCATTAATCCATTCATTAATCCATTCACTGATTGAGTCATGGGGAATTTCCATGTGCGTTTTGGAGGGGACAATACATCCAAACTCCATCATAAATCAAGTCTAATTTGTTCTATGTTTAAAAAAAAAAAATAAGGACCTACTTTTCATATTCCTTAGTCACTTAGTGAATTATGGTGGAGATTTTTCTACCCTCCTAGTTGTAGAAGTATCAAACAATTTTATTTTCTATCTTTGATATGCTTTTAGGACTGGATTACTGTGTGAGGTTTTTAAACAAAATAACATAATTGACATCAAATATTACTTTAAAGTTGCCTATATAAAACGAAGTATCAAGAAAATCTTAAACAGGGCTGGCTAGTTAGGTCAGTTGGTTACATCATGGTGCCAATAACACTGAGGTTAAGGGTGTGGATTTCCATACCAACCAGCTGCCCCCACAAAAAAATCTTAAACACAGTGAGCAGTGATTCAAGTTATAGATTAAATTCTATAGTGGGATGAACCTGTATAGGTGAGATAACTTAATATGTCTTCCATAGACCCTGGTAACAATGAGTAATAGAATTTTTAGCCACAACATATTCTTAAGAGAAGGGTTTGTTCCATCTTAATACCTTGTTGTTATCTCTTTTCTTATTATTGAAGGCTTCTGTTTTGGAAAATCTAAGGCTAGCTGTATGATCTCAACTTGGATTTACTTCAATTACACTTCCTGTGGCAGGCAGATCCAGTAACATTTGACATTGTATTTTGAATTTTGCAAGATCACGTCATTCGGGGTCATTGGCTTTGGTCTCAGCGGATGGAGATGAGGTTGTCCCTAGTCAGAGTACCAGCAGAGAATCTGAAAGAAATGATACTCACAGAAGTTTGTTTTCCACGGAGGCTGATGATACAGACACAGAAAATGAGAGAAGAGATGAGGCAGGAGCATCTGGTGGTGTTGTAGCTCCTTTGCCCCCCAAAACCCTCCCACAACAGCAGTAGAAGCAGCAATAGGAGAATGTGGAAGCTCCTCAACTCAGACTACTCGAGGTGGTCATGCAGATAATGGAAGGGATGTGACAAGTGTGGAACACCCAAGTGTGAGCCCAGCAAGTCACCAGCTTAAAAGCGCACTAAGTCGTGTGACTCGGGGGCTGCGTTGGGTACGTTTTACATTAGGGCGATCAAGCTCTCCAGAGTCCTTTGAGACAACTTGATAATGGGGTAAATGGAAGAGAAGAAGATGATGATGTTGAAATGCTAATTCCAGTTGCTGAAGGAGCTTCAGACTTTGATGTGAATGACTGCTCCAGACCTCTTCTTGATCTTGCCTCAGATCAAGGACAAGGGTTTAGACAACAATATAATGCAACAAACCCTGGAGTAAGGCCAAGTAATCGAGATGGCCCCTGTGAGCGCTGTGGAATTGTCCACACTGCCCAGATACCACACACTTGCTTAGAAGCAACAATGAAAAATGAAATGAGTGATGATGAGGCTTTGTTACTTTGTTAGGTACAAATCACATAAGGGAGATTGTGTACAGGTTGGAGCAATATCCATTCATTTTTTTGTAACTTTACAATTAAACTAGTTTTAGTTTAAAAAGAAAAAAGATGCAGGGTGATTTCTTATTATAGGTTAGCCCACATGGTTAAATTAAACAACTTGTAACTCTATGAACTTAGAGTTTACTATTTTAGCAGCTAAAAATGCATTATATATTCATATTGTTCAATAATGTTCTTTCATTTGTTACTAATTGTTTTTATCCTGGTACTGTAGTTCACGGTAGAAACATGGCTGCTGAAACTCATTTGACTGTCATTTTATCTATCCTATGTTAAAAGTTTGTTTGTACAAAATAGTACCTCCTTTTAATTGAAACTTTTATGTTTTTAACAAACATCTTATAACTTAATATACTAGATATTAGGTTGTTAATATACAAAAAAAAAACCTTATATTTACCTGTGTTTTTGTTTGTATAACAATTTGTCTATTATTGGATTTTATCATAATATGAACTTGTCAAAGGGAAAAAAACTTTCTCTAAAAATTTTTCTTTTATGTTTTAATGCAGTGATGTAAAATTTAGGTAGAATTAGATATATTAATGGCAATAACAAAACTCTTTTATAGATTTTCTAATGTTGACTTTAATACTCTAATATGGTACAAACCAAATGGTAAAATCCCAAGTCATTTCTTTTTTCATCTTCATTTAAAGACATCATTAAGCAGATGAAGATATTCTACTATGCATTAAATCTTGATCTTTATAAAATATGTACAAAAGTTGTTATGCTTGTATTGGACTCTAGGGATTTGCACTAAAATCATATCAAGGTCTCAGATGAGTTTAGTGCACAAGCACTATCACTGTAAATACTATTTTTTGCTACCACAATGACTATATATTTCCATAGCTTTTACGGGGGATGGGGAAGGCATTTTTTATTACAACTTGAAAATACTGTGCTGATTTCATATTTATTATTTGTATTTAAGGCTGCAGTATTGTAAGAGTGATTTTTGTCAATATATTTTATTCATGGGGGTATCATGCTACAATCTTGAAGAAAAGCAAATTAAGAAATCATTCAGATCACCCCTCTTTTTTAGGTAGAATGAATTGCAAAATCCAGCGTATTTTTTTTATTGTCAATTCCTATTTATTTATTCTTCAGGTGTCTGTTTTCGTAGCTTAATGATTGAGTATGAAATATGTATTTGTGTGTGATTATTGCTATTCATTAAATTTTAAATACTTTGCTGAATGTCATTTTAAAGCATGTTTGAGGTCTTGTGTGTGTGTCATGTTTTGCTGTCAGGAAAAACTGACTAAAATGATTTAATATGTATCAAAAATTAAAATGATTTTTTTTCTATTGTCTTGAGGTACTTTTTAAATCAAAGTTGTTTTTTTTATTTTTTTGAACTTTCTTGTATGTCGGAGACCAGCTCCGCAGGATTCGTTGGACCTGAACCAGGTTGTGTGGATCCGGTGAAAAGGAAGAGACGGACCACAGATGTCTAGTGCAAGTGTGGACAACGACCACAAAAATCTTGCTTTATTTATATTTTTTACTTAACCTTTTACATGATGACTAACCTTTTAATCAAAACATTTATTATTTCGTCTATATAGAAAAAGAAAAAACAAAATGTTACAAAGCAATTATGTTGTGATAAAAGCACCCACTCATGCATCAATAGTTCACCCTAAAGTCTGTGGCTTGTGGCCAGGAAACTATACAATAGCAGCATGCTTGGCATTAAAGCATCAGACTTTGATCTGAATCACAATTCTTGACCTTTTAAACTTACACATAAACTTATATTCTAAATTCTTATTAAATCTTACTTATACTTATATATAACAATTTAATGTTTTGTATTTTATATTTATTATTCTAATTTATAACCAAAATCACAATACTTACAACATGATTTTATATAATGAAACTTGATTATAACGTTCTATTATATTTTTACTACTATTAAAAACAATTATGCTATAAACTAATCTAAACAAAATCTATTAATATCAAAAACATTTTTATATATTTTTACTATTTTACCTATTCATCTTTATAGTAAAACTTTTTATTTTTTTACCAATTGACTCTGGGAACAGTACAAGGAACAAAGTGAAAGATTAAATGATCCTACTCAAGCTAAAAAAACACTAGATCATTCTTATTATTACTAAAGAAAGAACATGTTCTTGGTAAATCAAGTGAAACTGTGGGAGTGGGGAGAAACAAAGAAATCTGTAACTGGTTGATGATCAATTAGTTATAAATGTTACTGCACCCAGACCCACCGTCCCTGGGGGAATGTAGATAGAAATCTAACATAACTTCATTCCACACATACAAAAGCATGACCACAGCCACAATGGGTTAATGCAAATATCACTAAGAAGGAAGATTAATAACAAAATTAAATAGAGTCAACCCGTACTGGGAACATGCATCAAAAACACCCTTAGTACTGACAATGCCTTTTTAAATAAACCAATTAGTTTTGATTTATTATTAACATGTCCCTCGAGAAACCCGGGGCCCTTGGAATCCTCCAAAGGACATGCTAGTATGGCCTTGAGAAACTCCGGGGCCCTTCGAATTCCCCAAAGCCACACTAAGCCAAAAGTTAGGGCTTTAATTCTGAAAAGTGTTGTCAAGCAACCAAAGGTGAACGAACAAGAAGTTCCCATGGAGCCGTGCCGCACATACGAGACCTCTTGCAGCCTGCTGAACAAGGGGCATCATTCTCAGGCTCCCATGCCGTTCCCTATAGCAGGATGGCTCATGGCATCTCCCCCTTTTTTTATTTTTTAATTGAAGAATGTGAAGCTCTTGGCGAATGGAACTAAGGGCAGTGATTATATGTTTGAAAAATATTGGTGCAAAAAATAAAATAATAATTACTATAACCAAAATAATTCCTAAATTGATTATAAAAGACCAAAATGTTTTTCGTGAAATAAATTTTTGTATATATTGAA